GCCGATATCGACGATGGTCTGATTGTTTAGCATGCGGCCACCTGTCGATGCAAAGGCGCTCATCAGCACGAGCGGATGAATGAAGCAAAAGACATCCCTTACCCATGAGCCAATTCCCACCATGAAAACACTCGAGGTGCGAGCTAACAGGGGTGTACCTCCCAGCGTCCCAGTCACCTAGGTACTGCCATCCCCCGACCGACCCGGTCTACAGTAGCGTTAGACGAGTCGCAACTCCCACCGAGGAAAGGGAAGATCGGGCTACTCACCCTGAGCAAAGTGTTGATTGAGCTATCGACAGCGGTGTGCCATGTCTTCAGGAACATCTGATCATCCGTGTTGGTTAGACGAGGAAACTTGACGAGGTACTCGAAGTAGCTGTCTGAGCCGCCTAGATGACCATCGATACGTATTCAGGTTCTGGGCGAGTATCATCAACGTCGGAAGAACGTACCTCCCCAGCCCTGCAGGTTGAAAAGCGAGGACGATTGGTATGAGAAGATGCGGATGCAGTGGACGAGCTACGTACGACGAATGAGTTTGTGAATCGTCCAGAAGTGGGATCGACGCTCCGAGCTGCCAGACCTGATGTAACATGGACGAACAATATTCGCAGTCAGTCCAGTAGGGAAATTATGGCGAGCGAAAGTGAAGGGCCTCTCGCCCGGTGGAGGGCGTCCGATTGCACTCACCAGGCAAAGGAGGAGTCTGCATATTATTCAATAATCCGCATCGCAGTATGGGAAGGGACTTATACTCACAAGACCAGCGATATGCTCAAGCGCACCAACCCCCAACGCCGCATACGTCCCATTCCCCGTATACTTCGAAAGCGTGAACCACTCCAGCGCCAACGTCCCCGCCTCTGCGATATTCGTCTGCAAAACATTTATCGTCAGTCACGCATCTCTCCAAAGCCCGTTAGGCTCACTCACCCCCTGCGTCAGCGCTTGATTCCTGCTAAACACAACTCGGGGGTAGGGCACTGCCTGGTCCTGCAACACACATACGTCTTAAGTGAGTAACTATCCCCATGAACAGAGGATGTACTAATGACACTGACCGGCGAGCGCCACGCAAACGCCATCTTATCCCCCACCTCTCTCGCTTTTTGAACTAGGATAGAATGGCGCTTCCCAGCGAGCTCGTATGCACTGAGCAGGCCGCCGAGATACCGGATCGTCGTCTCGAATACGCTTGATAAGACCGTGAGGTTTAGCGGAGAGTTACGAGGTGCGTGGGTGGATGAGAGAGGGTACCTGACTTGTTCGTCGATACTTTGCGACTTGCTAAAGTCGACAGTCGCACAGAAGTCGACCGCCTCCTCCAGAAGATCCTAGAAAGAACGACAAAAAACTGCTTCAGACCGTTCGATACCGTCAACAAGGCAGATACTCACATCCAGACCCATAACAGCCTGACATCACCCAAGAGGTCAGTCTTCAAGCGACGGAGACAGGAAAAGGGTGAGTACACACCATCGTCGACATCGAATCAACAATCGTCGCTCCCCATCCATTCCTCGGATCGCTGAACCCCTTGGACAGAGGCGAAAGGTCGTCGTGGCCCCATGCGTATTTCCTTTTTAGGGGTTTAGCCTGGCTCTCTTAAAGGAAAGAGTGCTCTCTCTTGAGGGCAAAGAGTGCTATAGAATACTCACTTGTACGCGGCGTAGCTATCTAAAAAAATCTACAACGCCATGGGCATGAGCCACGATGAGGAGCAAAGGGGGGAAGGGGAACAAACCTGTTTCGCCGCTTCCTTGTGAGCTGTTGCTGTCGAAGGGAGTTGAAGGTTGGGTTTCTGGAAGTTCCCAGCTAAAACGGAGGTGGGGATGTAGAGCGCCGTTCCTAGCAAGAGAAGGAGCTTTGTGAGTGCGTGGGTTAGCATCTCGATTCCAGCCGCAGGAGACAAGGTCCGAAGGGCGAGAAATTGGTAAGCTCGACACTTATACCTTCGCCAGTCGATGCACCCTGTCAGGCACGTCGAAGATCCTTCCCACCTTGGCCTGAGAACGCTCATAATGGTGTCGTCGAGTAGGATAGTGCGGAGAAAAGGTTGATTGATGGACACCTGACGATGGTGGTTATCCTGAAGCAGGTCTTCTCTGTCCATGCTGGTCGTGGTTATCGCGCACCACGCTGGTCGTGGTCAGGAGTCGCACGAAAGCAGCCCATGTACCTCGAAGAGAAGCGCCGATCTGATGCAGAGGGATCTCGTGGCTGATAATGCAATTGAAGCGATTCGAGAAGGCATCTAATGGTTGTCATCCATCCATAGGCACACACTCTAATAAAAAATACACGGCGTGGAGAGAAGGAAGGGGGTATAGTCCTACATCTGCGCCATTCTCTGCTGCATCTTCTCCTTGACGGTCTGGTACGCGTTCATGATTGTCTGCTCGTTGATGACGATCTCCGTCGTGTCTGGCCGTGGCCGACTGACTCGCGATGCAATGGCGCTCGAGTCGGTGTCGACGATAATCCTGGAAGAAGAGAGGTGGTTAGTATGCTGAACGACAACGTGTGTCCCATGGACGGAACACGTCAAGACGAGACGTACCCATCGTCTACCGTCTCGTCCAGACACAGTACCACCAAATCCAGGTTCTCCAGCACCCCCCGCTTCTCCACCTGATTCCGCAACAACATTTGCAGTGCGTCCACCAATGCATTCAGCGCCGCACTGAGCATAAGTTCGTTTTCGTCCGGTCCAGAGATGAAGTAGAGAATGAGGTCGAGCGAGTGCTTGTAGACAGCCAAGTGCGAGTCGTATAGAATGATCTCCCCTACATCCAGAGCAGGTCAAGTTCAGATACGTCTGGATCTTTGAACACAAAAGATGCTATGCTCACCGCCCGCCTTCTTGGTTTTGGCATAGAGACCTTTCTCGAATGCGCGCTGTTCCTTCAACGTTATCAGGCCTTGAGAGTCAGCCTGAGGGTGGCTTTTTGGTCGATAGTATTTGGCAAGGACGCGGTTGCCTTCCGAGTCGAGGATTACGAAGGCATTGATACTGTACAGAGAGAGGTTCGTCATGGTGGTAGTGGTCCCACAAGCGTTGATGGCAACGTCCAGCTCTGAGGGACACGTCAATTGACCCGGAATCTGGTCAAATTGGGACTTTTTTGGACTACTTCTCGGGCCAATGACGGTCATGTGCAACTGTACAACGTCGTCTGCTACTAGTACCACGACCTCGCGTCTTAGCGTGGCGACTGGAGTTCCTCCAGCTTCGACACCGAGTGCCTCCTTCTAAATTGAATACTATTTTCTGCGGCTGCTTTTGCATGACTAACAGATCGACGACGATAAGCTATCGCAAGACATAGCGGTCGCCTCAGACACTTTAGGCTCAAGATATGTCTGAGACTTGCCGCAATGTCTTCGGAGTCTTCAGCGCTTTTGCCTTAGCTCAGTTGCTCATAGTACGCTCAGATCGACAGCCATCCTTCATTAATCCTTCTTATTCTCAACCCCGACAACAAACCACCACATCCTACTTCGTCACTCTGGAGTCTGCAACTCACACGTCTCCAATGATGATGGAGCAATACAGCAACTCGGTGGCCTCGGTGGCCACGCAATCTCTCCTCCTCGCCATAAAGCTGGGCTCAGAGCATGACCAACAGACCGAGAATTCTGCTGGAGGCGAGGCGCAATTACTCAAGATGCGCCGCCAGCATGGGATGGACAGTTGCGCCGGGAACGATGGCCACGTCGACTCCCCAGTTCGGCCGCTCGCACACGACCATCGTCATATCCCTGATTACCCCACCGTCATTCCCCCACCCGTAGAACAGAGGTCGTTAATGTCCCCTCTTTCGCAAGCGCACCACAAGACCCCCATCCCACCAGCCTTGAACGACGCACAATACAGTCAGGGAACGACGGAGATTCTGCTCACCACCAGCGAGCTGCCGGCCATCTGGAGACGCTCAAATCCAGGCCGAAACATCTTAGATGAACCCATGGGCAAACAACCACACGCCGACGACGCCAACCGACCTCTCAGCCCTGTGACCTACAGCTCCACCTCCTCCGACGGTCCCACACAGACGTACTCTTCCTTCGATCTGCCGTCCATCGATTTTGGTACCGACGAAGAGGGCTCGAGCGACGTCGACAGCGACTCGATGCACTCGGCACACACCGCGCCCCAAGCCGAGTCCACCGACGCACGCGTAGACGAGCTCATCCCCGAGCCGACTACCACTCCCAACCCCGTCCCACCCACCCATGCTCGTCAATCGCGCAATCGCAACAAACTGCGCAAGGCCCCTCCACCGGGATACACCCCCAAGGATCCATCCTCCCCTACGCCCGGGACCAGCGCCACCGGTAACCTCGCCCGCGCCGCTCTCGCTACGCTCAGCGGGCGCAAAGTTACGCAGATGTCAGTCTCTCTGGGTGCGAGTCTGCAGAAGTGGGCGATGGGGATTGGAAGTCGGGCAAGGGGGAGATTGATTTTGGGTTCATCGAGTCAAGGTTCGGGGAGGAGAAGAGGGGAGATGGAGATTCCGATTGCGACGAGGCAGGTGGGCGGGGCGGGGGGGACGACGGTGGCGTTGGCGGTGGTGCAGGCTCCGGATCCGTTTGTGGCGGGTTCGACGAGGCGGTAGAGGAGATTAGGCTAGTGGAAAGGTCGGCGTGGTGACGCATGGACTGGGCGGCCGCATGCGAGGGGTAGATTGAACTTAGACTCCGATTACTGACAAGACTACTATGACTTTGCCAATCCCCTACTCATTTTTTCTCTTCCTTGTACTAATATCTACTCTTGACTGCGTTTTGTATCGACATCTTGATTTTATGCCTTGTCTCGCCCCGCATGGATTGTACTTTACTATCGCTTATATCATACTAGATACTCTGGTCCTTGAATTTGACGGGAAACTCTGAGTGTTGCTCGTGTTCAGCGCGCCATTTAGTAAGAGACTGCACGGGTTAGTTGCACACTGTCTTGTAATCATTATGCAGCAATGGGCGCTTTAAATCATATCTCTGATAGTATATCGGTTAGTACACGCGCCTGTCATTGCGTTTGTGCTTCCGGTCAACGCGCGAAAGCTGGGTTCGACTCCCAGTCAGAGAGTGATTTGTAATAAAAGTTTTTGCGTGTGGAATAGTTTTGGTACGTACTACGTATCCCAATGCATGTTCATTGTTCTCCCAATCCAGTCACCCAGTCACGACTCACCAGGTCATATAAGAGACTGTTATATACAAGGGTGTACATGTAAACTCGCTCTTACTGATGCCCGTGAGGGCTCGTCTAGTAACGGCAATGGCCCTCATGACGTACACATGTACTAGTGAGTACCGTGTATGATCGTCGTATTTGTGCTCGTGTCTACGGTCGTTGCAGCGCAAAAGACCGCCCGATATTGCCAGCGCTTGATTCACGCCGCTCCGATATACGCAGAAATTGTTACGGGTACTGTATAGATTCTTGTTATATAAGTTACCATCCATGAACTAGCTATAGTTGTTACCCGAGAGACAAGGATGCAAAATGGGAGAATACACAGTAGATGCGTCGTACGTAGTTCGTAATTAAGGGCAGAAGGTGACGAGCATACCAACGCTGGCTTTATTGCACTGGGAGAGACAGCCGTTGCAGCTGTCCGGGGGAAGCCATGCACCGGTGTTGGGGCAGTTGGAAGTGGAGCTGTGATGAGGGAGAGGAGGACGGGGTTAGCACTTTGGCAACTGGGTGCGACTTGATCGACGTACCACTTCTTGCCGCCCTGGCAGCCAGCACCTGGGTTGATCCAAGAGAAGGACATTCCAACCTGAAGAGGGGTCGAAGTAAGACGACTTGTTCATAGCGCACATGTGGAAAATGAGGACGGACGTTGTAGCCAGAAACACGGGAGATGTTGCACTGGTTGTAGCCAACGTTGGAGAAAGTGCACTCAAAGAGGGTGCAGCCTACAGATCAAAGACACAATGAGCCTCAGTTTCAAGTTAGGTAGCGGACAGATAGCGAAGCTCACCGGCACCGTCAGCGTTGTTGCACTTGCCATCATTGCCCCAAGCTCGGCCAGCTACCCACTGGAAGCCTTCTAGTTAGCCCTGCACGATTGTCGATGCTAATCAACGACGCTCACCTTCTCGGGGACAGAGGTGGACCAGGTGGTCTTGGCGGCCATGACCTTACCAGTGGAAGTCGCACCGGAACCAGCCTTCCATCTGGGGGTAATGTTCTTGTTGCAGTTGTTCCTGAACCTGATCTCGTGGGCACCGAGGACCTGGGTGAAGGAGGCGAAAGCCACGAAGGCGAGAGCGACGATGGATGGGAGCTGCATGATGATCTGTGGGAGGAGAGGGAGGTGAAGGGCTTTGTCAACACACAGGGAAGAGTGGGTTAATGAAGAGTACCAGTCAGGACGAACCGGTTTTATACCTACATGGCCAACGCCCTCGTAACTGCGCGTTAGGCCTGAAGCGATGGGAGACGCGCCGGCTAACTTAGGGGCGAGCACCGCCTAGTATGGGCATCCTGCAGCTACCGATCTGCCTCCTCCGACGGGTTTCATTGAAGCGCACCGCGTGGTCTCCCGCACAATTCATCAGGCGTTCCTAAAGCATGCTGGTTGATGCAAGGGGAAGAATGAAATTAGCGTAATTAGCCGTCATAAGCTCGCGGCGGTAGTCCGCGGATTGGACTTCTAGGCGTTGCAGTTCCCAGGCGTTGTAGAGGCGATCCAGTCCATCGGCGCGTTGGGCCTTGGCCTCTCGGGGGTGCCGCGAATAAGATGCGGCAGCGGATAAATCCATTCCTTGAGATCGGCGAGAGCATCGACAGGACGCGATCAACGCGCTTGGACTCGAGTAATTTGAAGCTCCCCTCTCATCCAGATGGCAGAAGCGGCGATGTGACCCTCAGCGAGAACAGCGGGCCGATGAGCCTGAGATTTCTTGACTTGAGAGCGCCTGCGGCGCCGTACGGTTCATTGAAGCCAGCTAGCTGAGCCCAGGGCATACAAGGTACGTCGGTCCTGTAAGGCTATAACCTGGAAGGTGTGCCTGCGCAGTCCGATAAGAACCATGTCTGTAGCCGAAAGAAGCTAAGCTGCGACGATGTCTGGCGTGGGTGCACCATCAAATTCCCCACAGGCACTGCACATCAACGGCGGTTGCCAATTGGTAGGCCGCAACTCCTGAACGATTGTCGAACTGTCTTCCGAGACGAGGGTGATGCAGCCCTCAAAAATAGCGGGGTATTCGGCGATAGATATGTTGCTGTGAAGAGGTTCGGCAATGGTACTGGGGAAAATATTGATTGAGAAAACGGCAGAAAGCGAGCCTTATTTGGTCACGTTGGTCTATGGCGTCCGCACGAGCAAAGCAGCGCGATGGGGGGTGGAAATGCGTTCAGACTCCAGTAAAACACGGCCAGCAGCGAACGCTGCATATCAGTACCTGGTACGACGTTGGAAAGTGTATGTTGTCAACGAAACCCAGAAATTTCGCTACAGTATTGCTGTCCTTCGCATAATCCAACACAAAGAACAACCTCTCCATAAAAATACAGCCTAGAAAATGCCAGCACCAGCCCCAAGAGAAGCACTCCTCGTAACTCAGTGTCGATATCACTAGTCCTCAAACTCATTCCCATCCATCCTCACCCCAAAGTTCGTCCCAATGTCCATTCCCAACACCTTCATTCTCCCCACCTCCGCCCTCTGATTCATCACCTTCCTCAACTCCATTAGCCTCTCCCTGTCGAGATGGCCCCCACCATCGGCGCTGTCTCCGCCAGCCTTCTTTGCGCGCGATTGAGAAGACTGGAGAGCGCGGAGGTCGGCGTTGGGGTCGTAGTGGTCTTCAGAGGGAGGAAGGGTCTCGCCTGCTCGGAGGGCGGACATGCGGCGGTCGTAGTTGGCGATGGAGTAGTATTTCTCGTCGGGGAGCGTTGCTGGATACGGCATGGTCAGTGTGTTGAGTCAAAAGCAGTCTGGCGGAAGGTATACGAGGATAAACTCACCAGTATTGAAATCTTCGACGAACTGCGAGAACTCCTTCTTGTTCTGCTCCCTGGATATCGACTCGGGATTGATCTTGCGCTCCTCAAGAAGCCATGCATGGAACTCGTCGGCTTTGGTGAAGATACTGTTCCTCGCTAGTCAGCGTCCTGCGACTTCTTGGCCCGTGGGGAGAGGGACGTACTCTTGTTCTGTGATCACACCATACTTTCCCCAATGCGCCGAAGAGTTGGCAGACTTTTTCTACACAAAGCGAAAGAACGCACGTCAGTCTCGACCTGACATACACGAAAGCAAAGTGAAGCAAACGGCACACACAAGTTTCTTCTTCTCCTTCTTGTCCCTCTTCTTCTGTTCCTTTCTCTCGCGCGACGCACTACTGCGTCTCTTCTTCTTCTTATCTTTCCTCTTCCTTGACGAGCGGTCCCTGTCAGAGTCCGAGTCTGAATCGGATGAACGAGAGCGAGAGCGTCTCCTTCGTTTCCGATCTGGAGACCTTGACCGAGAGAGAGAGCCTGACCGGTCCCTTCGTCTACGAGGAGAACAGGATCGAGAACGGGAGTGCGAGCGGCGTCTACTGCGCCCTGTATCTCTGTCTCTGTCCCTATCCCTGTCTCTATCCCGGTCGTCTCTAGTTCTCTCCCTGTCCCTGTCATCTCGGTGGTAGTCCCTCTCTCGGTAGGACGAGCGCTCTTTCCCAGAGTCATGATAATGTTTGGTATGAGATGAATCATCTTCGAGACGCTCTCGAGAAGCTGAGCGGTCTCGTCGTCTGTGCTCGGGTGTGCGCGAGCGCGAGCGGCCGCGGTGGGTGTGGTCCATGGGAAAGGAGTTTAGGGTTGGTGGGGTTGCAGTTGGTGGTTGAAGTGATCGCACGCGGCTTGCATTGTGCCTCCCACCATTGTGTGGCCCCAGTATCAACTTTCATGGCGATCATGCCCTTGCTCTCAACGCTCGTCTATACGCAAACATGATGCTTTGTCTTCCTCAGAATGCAACGGACCACCTAACGCCTGTCCACGACAACGCGCCGGTTACTTCAGATGTGGGTGTCTGGATACTTTGGCAGCTGTTGTCCCAAATCCCACGCTGACGTCCCTAGGGTGCAGGTGGTCTCTGGGTCAAAGCCCTAGCAGAAATACTGAACGCGCTTGAGAAGAAATACAATCGTCTTCACACCGCTTGCGTCTCTATGGTGAACAGGAACACCTTTGTCGTAGGGCTTTTCACCAACCAGCTCTGTGCCGTGGTAGTTCTGGGGCCACATCAGGGATAGCGCGCAGCTTACTCAAACTGAGGAAGGCTTTGTGTCTGGAGCGCGGGGAGAAACCGATGTGGTGGCATATGGAAGTCGATTTCGACTGGCAGGAGACTGCACCGAGGCCTGACGCTGCTAGGTTCGTCACTTTATTGGTCCATCTCATGATATACGCTCCGCAGACGCCTGATCTGAACTGGTGCAGAATAGCTGCCGAGGATCAGACCCTTTGCGAAACGTATCAGGCAAAGCAGGCGACGAAGAAGAAGAAGAATTTGACAGCTCAGGCTCCGGCAAAGAAGAAGAAGAACGTCGCGAGAGCCGAAGGAGCATGCTCCGTCCCAACGCCTGCAGCGTGGTTTTGCTCTCATTGATATCCTTTGTCCCTGCCCCCTGCTCTCTTGCTCTACTCGCAGTGCATTCCTTTGTCTACGTAGCTGTTTACATTTGTACAATCATGCTACTAGCTTGATTTCTCTGAGGCATTGCTGGAGTACAAACAGTTTTACGTCGAGGCTCAAGGCCGGAGTGTTTATGGTAGTCAGATATAAGTATATCATAAGTATTGGATATATGGTACTGGAATAGATTAAGCCAACGCCGATATCTGCGCAGCTTTTGTGTATGTTCTATGCTATGGATGATGCATCTACAAGGGTACTCCCTGGAAACCAACAGGAGGTGGGAGCCCATTGCCGAGCAAAGTGTACGACCCTTCACTGGAGATATCGTCGACCGTGAGGTACACGTAGGCTGAAAAGACATCAGTATGGGCGAGCAGACAAGGTGGAGAGAAAGTACGCACCAGGGCCAGGCGGGTACACCTTGTTGTTGGGGGGAGTGGTG